AGGTCCTTAAGAAGCCTGGCCCTCACTTCTCAATTTTCCCCTGAAGAGAAGAATAAACTACAACCCCCAACACCGCTTAGCGCTAATTTTGCACGCTTTCCGGGGAGTTGATCATTTCCGGCGGAAGTGGCCGCGACTAGGCCAATCTCCTTTCCTAAGCAAAGCGGACTACGATTCCCACAGTTCTCCGCGGCCGGGGGCGGGGAAAAGGAATCGGAAACCGAATGGGCAGCTGGGCCAGGTGAGGAAGTTGGAGGCTAGAAACTCGGGGCGCCGGGGGCAGGCTCGGGGCACACGCGGCTTCGGGGGGGCCGCAAGCTGGGAGTCGGAATGTCTGCGTTTTGGGGCCCCTTGCACTGTTCGGGGTTCGTTCCGGCGCGGAGAGCGCGGAGCCCCTGGAAGCCCTGGAGGCCCGGGGGCGAGGCTTTCCCGTGGGGCGCGCGCGGAGGTTTCTTAGGGAGCCTTGGTCGTCTGCCCCCCTCGGAGCCAGGAGCAAGGATGAAGTGGTGTTTCTGAGCGCATGCTCTGGTATTTTTATTATAATTATTGGCGTTGATTTGCCGATTGTTCCTGTGGATTCCTGGGGTGCCCATAGGGACAGGGGAGTGGAGAGTGTCTTCGCTTCTTTCTTCACTTTCTGTATCAGAGCCTACGCGTCCAGACTTACCGCTGGGTCACCCTCCACTTCCTCTGCACTTAATGTGACATGACACTGTCTTTTATAAAGTATCTACTAGTACGTGTCTTAAGTCTCTGGCTCTTGATGACTTTAGATAGTTCTTCCAAGTTCCTATTTTGGACTCTGACGGTATTTTGTTTGGGACATTAAAGCTCCAGCCACAGTGTATTACAGTTGTTTATCTGTCATCTCAGTGGTTTCTGAGCCTGGCCTACGCTCTTTCCATTTGGGAATTCTTCCCCACCAAGCAACAGACTGTTACAGTACCTATCATGTAAAAGACTCATAAATATTGAAAAAAAATAAATAAATGAGTTACCTGCTGGTGGTAGGTTGGATGGAATTTCTCATTTTCATTTCATAGAGTTAAGTGACTAGAGCGAACTTCGTAGAGTTGAAATCTGGACCAGAATTTGAGTCAAATGACACCCATCCTGTGGCTCTTGCTGTCAGATCAGGCTTTGAAATCCTGGAACACTGAAGATAACCCTTGTCACTGGGTGTGCCCCCAGCCTTGCTGCCTCCAGCGTAGGTCTCTGAAAATCAAAGGGAGGTCCCACTTATGGCCTGAGAGAGATCCCATCTCTGGAGCAGCCAACCCACTAATGTTGGTGGTGCCTGGGGAGCTGCAAAGCAAGAGCCTCTGAGACATTTGAGTCCTCCACAGCTCCCCTCTCAGCGTGTGCTTGAGGTCAGTTGGCCCTGGGTAGCCAGCTGATAGATCAGTTAGAGAATTCTGAGATCAGACTGGGGAAGGAGTTTCTAAGTTTGGCCCCTGATCCCCACCTCCCCCCTCTCTTCCAGGCTGGGGTCAGAGAACAGGTTGATAGATCAAGCTGTTGTGTCAACCTTGAGTTCCTATCTGGGTTACTCCTGAGTTCCTAACCTGGGCAAGGGTTGAGAGGGAGAAAGGACCTACCTATGGGAGGTCCAGCCCTGATGGGAACACCCCTGAGTCTGGCAAGCCCTGGAAAGGGGCAGAGTACAAGTGGGCAGCTGAGCCTTCAGTGAGTCAGGATGTAGAAGTGGAGCGGAGTCCATCAGGAGCCGTTCCTTGGCAGAAGGTAGTTGAAACAGGGATGGACAGAGCTGAGCAGGTATTCACCGACTACTGAATAAGACCCAAGTTCTTGCAGCTATGGAGGGAAACTGAACAGTGACTGGCCTCTGATCTCAAGTACATTGAGTGGGGAGATACATGTGAATCTATGAAGAAGCTACCCTGTTTCCCCGAAAATAAGACAGTGTCTTATATTAATTTTTTTCTCCCAAAGTTGTGCTAGGTCTTATTTTCAGGGGATGTCTTATCTTTTCATGCGCTAGGTCTTATTTTCGGAGGATGTCTTATTTTTGGGGAAACACGGTACTTATCCTAGTGACACTCAGTGGTTCTCAGCCTTCACCAACCATCAGAAGTACCTGGGAGAAGCTTGTTCAAATACAGATTCCCAGGCCTTAAGTGTCGGGTGGCTGTGGCAAATGCAGTGTTTTGAGGGAGGCCTTTACTAAAAGGGTAGTTTGAGCTGCTTAAAGGATGGGTATAATTTGGATGTATGGAGAGTAGGAGAGTCACAATCTTGTCAACTTAAAGGAGTGTCTGTAGAAATGGCACACGTAAATTTTGAGAATTGGGGTAGGAAAGGCACTTTGAAAGTGAGAGTGGTATGATCAGGTTGGAATACTGGGTTTGCATGGCAGTGGTGAGAAGAAAGATTGGAAGGAATGGCCTTTACAGGTTACAAAGCTTGCTTGAATATTCCCCCTGTTTTCTCCCTCCTTCCATCTCTTCTTCTTTTCCCCCTTTCCCCTCCTCCCCCTTTACATGCAACATCTCATTCTTTTATATTATACTAGAGGCCTTGTGTGCAGATTCGTGCACTGGTGGGGTCCCTTAGCCTTGCCTGCAGGGATTGGACCTAAACCAGCTCTCACCATCCCCTGAGGGGTCCTGGATTGCAAGAGGGTGCAGGCCAGGCCAAGGTGCACAATCAGAAAGGAGGAGGGGCCGAGGGAGGGCTTCAGAGTATATACGGCCTGGATCTCACCCAGTTTGGGCGAGACCCCGGCAGCAAGCTAACCTACCGGTCGGAGTGTTTGCTCCTGGTGGTCAGTGCGTGTCATAGCGACCAGTCGAATGGTTGAATGATTCGTCGGACACTTAGCATATTAGGCTTTTATTATGTAGGATTTTTTAAAAATATATTTTTATTGATTTCAGAGAGAGGGAGAGAAACATAAATGAGAATCATTGATCAGCTCCCTTCTGCATGCCCCCCACTGGGGGTTGAGCCTGCAACCTGGACTGGGAATTGAACTAGTGACCTCCTGGTTCATAGGCTAACACTCAACTACTGAGCCACACCAGCTGGGTGTAGTTTTTTAAAATATATATATTAATTGATTTTTTTACAGAGAGGGATAGAGAGTTAGAAACATCGATGAGAGAGAAACATGGATCAGCTGCTTCCTGCACACCCCTTACTGGGAATGTGCCCACAACCAAGGTACATGCCCTTGACTGGAATCAAACCTGGGACCCTTGAGTCTGCAGGCTGACACTCTATCCACTGAGCCAAACCGGTTAGGGCCCAGCTGGGCATATCAATATTATTTTAAAATAATTTTATTTTTCAAATACGGTTGACATACAATATATTATTTTTAGGTGTACAACCCAGTGTTTAGACAGCTTATGAAGTGATCACCCTGATAAATCGAGTGCCCTTCTGACACCATACAGTTATTACATTCTTATCTACTATGTTCCCTATGCTCTACATTCACCATGACTACCATATTGTATGGAATCCCTTCCACTTTCCCACCCAGTCCCCCTACACTTCTCCCATTGGCAACCATCAAAATGTTCTCTGTGTCTATGAGCCTGTTTCTGTTCTTGTTCTTTTATTTTGCTTTTTAGATCACACATAAATGAAATCACTCATATCAATATTATTATTATTATTACTATTATTTAAAATCATGTGTGTTTTTTTTTAATATATCTTATTGATTTTACACAGAGAAGAATTGAGAGGGACAGAGAGCTAGAAACGTCGATGAGAGAGAAACATTGACCAGCTGCCTCTTGCACACCCCCTACTGGGGATGTGCCCACAACCAACGTACATGCCCTTGACTGGAATCGAACCCAGGACCTCTCAGTCCACAGGCCGACGCTCTATCTACTGAGCCAAACCAGTCCCGGCAATATATCAATATTATTAAGTGAGTATTATTATTTTTAGTATTTGGATGAGGAAACCAAAGACTGACCATGGTTACATTGCTTGTAAGAGAGTTTGGTAGTCATCCCACTTACCACTGAGGATTCTTGAATGTGGGCAAGAAGCTGGACTGGGCTGGGGAGGTTGTAGAATTAGCAGGGTGGCTGAGTGAATCATCTAAGTCAGTGGTTGGCAAACTCATTAGTCAACAGAGCCAAATATCAACAGTACAACGATTGAAATTTCTTTTGAGAGCCAAATTTTTTAAACTTCTAATGCCACGTCTTCAAAAGAGACTCGCCCAGGACGTGGTATTTTGTGGAAGAGCCACACTCAAGGGGTCAAAGAGCTGCATGTGGCTCGAGAGCCGCTGCAGTTTGCCGACACGGATCTCAGGCAAGATGGTTTGGGTGATTAAGGGCTCAGTGTTGAGTCAGATAGTTTGGGTTCAAATCCCAGGTTCATGACTTGCTAACTGCATAACCCTGGGCAAGTTGGCTGATCTTGCTAAGCCTCAGTCTTCGCACCTGTGACATGGGAGCAATAATACCCATCTCGTGGGGTTGTTATGAGTATCAATGCGGTGTATCTGGCACGGAGCACTTGCTTACCACCTGGAAGCTATTGTAATTAGCCCTTAGTAATTAGTCTCTGAGCTATGGCTTTGCACCTGCATCTCATTCTTCAGCACTTTGGTTTCCTGGACACAGCTCATCCTGGCTGGGCTTGTTTTATTAAGGGTGACATTGAAGGTGCTGAAATTTTGCCACCAGTAGACATTTATTGGAAGCTTATCATCGCTTGCCACGGTCTAGGTACTAGTGACTCAAGACCTAGCCTGACGGAAAGGCGGTCTGGAGTGGGGGTGGGTTATTTTCACTAGCTGATGAATGAAGGGGAAGGATACTTGAAGGTGGGAGAGAAGAGGTCCTTTCATTACCAAGCACTGAGAGGAGCTTAGTCCTGCCTGGAAGTTGGGAGGATGACTGACATCGTCCTTTTCGAATTCAGGAAATGGTAGTGGAGCCCTGGCCAGTCTGGATCCCTCGAGGGCTGAGGGGGCGCTGTCCATCTCTTTTCCAGGTGACGGTGACATGGCTGTGCCCCCGGCTTTCCCCCGGGGACCCCTTCATGAGCCCGCCGGGATCCCCCCGGCGGAGCCCCCGCCCTGCCCTCGGAGCCTGGCTGAGGGCTTCCTGCGGGAGGAACTCCGGCTCAATGCCGAGCTGAGCCAGCTGCAGTTCTCGGAGCCCGTGGGCATGATCTACAACCCCGTGGAGTACGCCTGGGAGCCACACCGCAGCTACGTGACCCGCTACTGCCAGGGCCCCAAGGAAGTGCTCTTCCTGGGCATGAACCCGGGGCCCTTCGGCATGGCCCAGACCGGGGTAAAGGGCTGGCTGTCCCTGGGGGTGCTGCGGGGGCGGAGTATGTGAGGCTGGGGGCCTGCGGGGGTGCGGGGCCCCCATCCCTTCCCAACACACACCCCGGCTCCTGCGGGTCTCAGACACCCTCCCGGCCTCGCTGCCCGCAGTTAACCAAGGACATTAATGCAGTTCCGTTTCCTTTGTGAGCTGTTCACTAATTGCCTCTGAGAGCCCTTCCTTCCTTCCGCCAGCCCCATCCTCACCTTACCGGATCTCCCTTCTCCCTAGAATGGGGTTGGGATCGGGAGGGAGACCAGGACTCCTGGGCCCTCAGGAGAGACTGAGGGACAGGGGCGGGTGTGGAATCGATGCAGCGTATTCAGGCAACCTGTGTTCTGTTTCTTAGCTGAGGAGAGGGGCAGACCAGAGCCAGGCTTCCGGGCCTGCCTGCTTGTCTCTCAGGCCCGGGCATGAGTGACTGCCCCTTGGTGGGGTGCGTGGCAGGTGGGGGAGGGGAAGAGGCTTCAGGGCAGGAGGCTCAATCGCTTTTATTGACCCCCACTGGGGGATGAAAGGTGGTCAATGATGATCGATGGAAATGACAGCCTGAGGCTTGGGGCTGAGAGGGCACCCAGAGAGCAGCAGTCAGCCCTGACCCCGTGCCTCCTCGAACCCTGGCAGCCTTTCTGTCTCAGACCATCCGTTTGTCCTCAGTACTACCCATCACGCCTTGTGAAGGGCCCGATAGCCCCGTGAACTCCCTGTACGTGGTCCGAGGGCTAGTGGGGGGCAGAGGCAAACAAATAGGTTCTGGGTCACAGTCCACAATGGAAAATTGGAGGAAAAGGGACAAGATCAAACCACAGGACGAGGGATTCTTTTTTCTTTTTAAAAAAATATATTTTATTGAGTTTTTACAGAGAGGAAGAGAGAGGGATAGAAAGCCAGAAACATCAATGAGAGAGAAACATCGATCAGCTGTCTCCTGCACACCCCCTACTGGGGATGTGCCCGAAACCAATGTACATGCTTTAACCGGAATCGAACCTGGGGACCCTTCAGTCTGCAGGCCGACGCTCTATCCTCTGAGCCAAACCAGCTTCGGCAGAACGAGGCATTCTTGTCTCAGGCCTTTGGGTGAAGGTGGCAGGGTCTGTGAGCAGGTGTTCAGGCTAGATCCTAATGGGAGAGTGAGGAGGGGGCAGTTGGTCCAGAGAACAGGAGTCAGGTCTGCAGTTGGAACCCTCACGTCTCTCTCCTCCACAGGTGCCCTTTGGGGAAGTGAGTGTAGTCCGGGACTGGTTGGGAATTGGGGGCTCCGTGTCAACCCCTCCTCAGGAACACCCTAAGCGGCCAGTGCTGGGGCTGGAGTGCCCACAGTCAGAGGTGAGCGGTGCCCGGTTCTGGGGCTTTTTCCGGAACCTCTGTGGGCAGCCCGAGGTTTTCTTCCGTCACTGTTTTGTCCACAACTTGTGTCCCCTGCTCTTCCTGGCTCCCAGCGGGCGCAACCTCACCCCCGCCGATCTGCCTGCCAAGCAGCGGGCGCAGCTCCTGGGGCTCTGTGACGCGGCTCTCCAGCGGCAGGTGCAGCTGCTGGGGGTGCGGCTGGTGGTGGGAGTGGGGCGGCTGGCGGAGCAGCGGGCACGGCGGGCTCTGGCTGGCCTGATGCCCGAGGTCCAGGTGGAGGGGCTCCTGCACCCCTCCCCTCGGAGCCCACAGGCGAACAAGGGCTGGGAGCCGGCGGCCAAGGAGAGACTGAATGAGCTGGGGCTGCTACCGCTGCTGACGAAATGAGTCCCCGGGGCCCCGGCACAGGGACCCATTCAACGCCCCCAGGTCCTTCTTGGGTGACGGATGCCCACACGCCTCCTGGACTGGAGCAGGAAGACCCTCCTCGGCTGGCTGGTCGCTGGGACCTGCCAAGGCAGTGCTGACACTACTACGACTCGCTCTCCTGATTCCTGCCTTCTTCCCCTTCCTCTGAGCATCGCCTTTGGAACCTAACGCCACCGAGAGGCACCACCTGCAAACTGCTTACTTCGCTGTTTCCTTGAGAGCCTGTGTTCAGCTGAGTGACCTCCAAGGTCACATTGGCTATTTTAGAGAAAAGATCCTGCCGGGATGCGCACCCATTCTCACAGAGCCGTGTTCCTCGCCTGACCCCTCTCGGTGTGGCAGAGTGGGGAAGGCTCGAAGACCTTTTGAGACTGTGAACCTGACTTTGGGCATGTTGATTAACTTCTCCAAGCCTGGGGAGCCTCCTCTGTAGAGTGGGGTTCCCTGTCTCATGGGGTTGGTGTGGGGTTAACCGGGATAACACTTGAAGTGCCTTGTGTGGTACCTGGCACACAGATGCTCATTTTACCTCTTTTTTTCTTGCCTCTGGTTGGGGAGTCACTGCACTACACGGGAAGCCCCTTCACTGGAAGGCCTTGGGGACAAGTCTTAGCCTCCATCTGTGGCCTGGGTGAGGGCAGACTTGCCCTGCCAGCGATGGACCAATGACTTTATGAAAAACCCAGCCTGTGATTTTTCAGTCTAAGCATTAAAAGCTCCTAAATCGTCTTATGTTGGTGCTTTTTCCCTGTTCTGGGAACATGACAGGGGTGGAAAGTGGTAGTTTAGATTTTCCCTCCTATCTCTTTACAGTTTGTGCTGGGGTCTTTCTATAGAACCCTTTCTATAGCAAGGGTTCAGGAATCTGGAGAAGGGATTGTGAGTAAATTAAACTAGACACTAGACATTAAATACAAATTTGGGAGGCATGGGGGAAAGCCAGGGGCGGCTTAGCTAAGGGACTAAGTTCTCTGAGTCTCCAGACCCAGGGCTTTTATTCACACATTTTTCCCTTTAGCAAAGCAGATATACATATCAAAGGTAAGGTTTGGTGAACAGTAAAGGACTATCAGGCTTGGGGAATTGCTGTTCCAGGAGCAGGTAATAACATGCAGATTTTCAGCCCCTTTAAAGAGTTCATTCAACCTTTTGAGGGCTTCTTGCATTTATTGTGACCCCTGGACTTAGCCTCCAGCAGTTTGCCAAGGCTTCTCTTGGGAAGCTGGGGGGTGATGTAAACATTTCCAGTTGCCTTACCAAAGCAGTAGGTCTCTGCTAGGGGCCTGTCCAGTGGCTTGTCTTCCACTCAGGGCACTCCGGGGAGCAGGTGATGGGTGGATGGGAGCCTGGTATCGTCAGCTAACACATTTCTTATGTCTGTTGCATGGCTGGTTGGTGTGCCCATTTGACAAGGGTTGGGAAAGTGAGTCAAGCTGAGAGAAGAGACGGTCCTGAGACCACCTAAATGAGGAACACACGGGCTCTTCAGGGACAGGTCATCTCCAGCTTTCAAAATTAAGACTTTTAATATAAGTGGCTGAGTCCTCCCCATTCTTTACACCCCACATTGTATAATAAATAATTTTACTGGTCTTTGTCCTTGGTTCTTTACAGGGAGCCTCTAAATCCTTGGAATTTCCCAAGTGATAGGAATTTCTGTTATTCATGGTGGATCCCTCAGACCACAGCTGAGTTTATGATGAAGTTTGACTCAGGGTGAGGGTACCATGCCAGAAAGACCAACCACGCGATTAGAGGGTTGGGGCTTTGAGCCAGGTGATATCAGCCTCCAGGGAGGAGAGGGGGCTAGAGATTGAGTTCAACCATGTGGACAATAATTTTTTTTCTGTACCCAAAAATGATTTTATAAAAAACAAAAACAAAAACAAAATGATTTTAAAAATATTTTTATTGATTTCAGAGAGGAAAGGAGAGAGATGGAAACATCAATGATGAAAGAATCATTGATCGGCTGCCTCCTGCATGCTCCCTACTGGGGATGGAGTCCACAATCTGGGCATGTGCCCTTAACCTGGGACCCTTCAGTCTACAGGCTGAGGCTCTATCCACTGTGCAAAACTGGCTAGGGCCATGATTTCAAGAAGATATGGCTACATAGTGAACCTAATAAAAACCTGGATACAAGGCTTTGTGAGCTTCCTGGTTGGTGGGCACATGGATGTGTTGGGAGGGTGGTGGTTCATGATTCTGTGGGAAAGGAGATGGAAGGTGTTTTTTGGACCATCCCAGATCTTGCCTTACATGTTTGTTCATTTGGCTGGTCGTAATTGGTATCCGTTATAATAAACTGCAATTGTAGGTAGAATGCTTTACAGAGTTCTGTGAGTTATTCTAGTAAATTGTTGAACCTTAGGGTGTCATGGGGACCCCTTTACTTATAGCCAGAAGTGTAGGTGGGAGAAAGTATGGGTGGCCGGGTCAGGGGAAGAAAAAAAAAAAAGAAGTATAGGTGATCCGGGGACCTTTGGACTTCCAGCTGGCATCTGAAATGAGGGCAATCTTTGCCCTTAAACCTGTTGGAGGTGGGCTAACTCAGGGTAGTTCGCATCAGAATTGGATTACAGTTTTGCACTCCCACATGCCTTAGCCGTCATTTGCTCTCTAGTGGTAAGTAGTCATTGCCCCGTGCTGCAGAGCACTGGCTTAGGCACCGTGGGATAACCTCCCCAGATGGAAGCCGTTGTTCCCTTACGTATTTAGCTGAGGCAGTCAGGGAAAGCTTCCTGGAAGAGGTGGCATTTCCAGTGGCCTTAAACGAGAAGCTTTTGGAGAGCTTAGAGAAGAGTGTGGTTATGTTCAACGAGCGGCAAATAGATAAGCACTGACTTGATCCAGTTGGGAGGAAAAACTGGAGAGGGACATTGGGGACAGTCTATGAAGGGTCTTGAATCCTAGACTAATTTTAGAGAATTTAAAGCACAGTTGGGGAAGCAGGATGCACAAGAAAACACCCAACAATAAGTGGAACCCCACAGATGGTAAGAGTCACTATTCTTACCCTTTCTCGTCAGGGAAAGGTTAATTAGGATCCTGGCATTGCCTTTTCCCAAGCACGCTGTATTAGTCTGCTTCCACAACTAAACCACAGGCTGGGGGCTGCAACCACAGCAGCGTGTTTTCTCACAGTCCTGGAGGCCGAAAAGTCAAAATGCAGGTGTCGGCAGCTTTGGCTTCTGCGGCCCCTCTCCTTGGTTTACGGATGGCCGTCTTCGTGTCCTCTGTGGCCTGTTCCCTGTGTGTGGACCTCCCTGGCAACTCTCTCCTTACAGGGACACCTTTCATAGTCATCCCACCTTCTGACCTCATTTAACCGTAGCAACCTTTGTAAAGGCCCTGCCTTCAAATACAGTCCCATTGGGGGTTAGGGCTTCAGCATATGCCTTGGGGAACACAATTCAGTCCATAAGAGGTACCTAAAGTCAGGTCACTGCTTTTTTAAAAATATATTTCATTGATTTTTTTACAGAGAGGAAGGGAGAGGGATAGAGAGTTAGAAACATCGATGAGAGAGAAACCGATCAGCTGCCTCCTGCACACCCCCTACTGGGGATGTGCTTGCGACCAAGGTACATGCCCTTGACCGGAATCGAACCTGGGACCTTTCAGTCCTCAGGCCAATGCTCTATCCACCGAGCATGGTTTCGGCAGGCCACTGCTTTTTATGTCCCCACCAACATCGACCTCTAACAAAAGAGGGTCCTCAGGCGCGCTTTTCCCCAGGCCAGGGGTGGGGTGGGGGAGAGGTGGTGACGTGGAAGCTGGTGAGGTGGCTTAGCTAGCTGATGGGACTTAACCCCCCCGGGATGGCCCCTTCCCCCAGGCCATTCCAGAGCGGTGCTTCACATCGCAGAGCACTAACCACTGTACGATCACGGCCCTGGAGCGGTGTTTCAGTATCAATTGTGTCTCTAGGGAAGGGAAGCTCGCTGTCTTCTCCCGAGCCAAAGGGAACGGACATTTCACCTGCTACACAATTATTTTCAAACCACACTGAAGTGATTGTGGATCATGTAGAGTTTCACAGTCCAATATAATAGGCACTATCCATGGGTGGCTGTTTTAACTTAATTACAATACGTAAAATAAAAAGTTCAGTTCCTTAGCCACTAGTTTCAAGTACCCAATAGCCACACGTGGCTAGAGGCTACTGACTGGGCGGCACAGGGAGGGAACAGTCCATCGTTGCAGAAAGTTCTATTGGACAGCACTGATCCAGAGATCCGTGGCTGACAACCCTGCCCATGGACCAATTCACCTGTGGAGGTTTTAGAGAAAAGTACCCAGCTCCATTTAAGAGATTTTGACTTGGGAGGTCTGAAGTGCAACCTGGTAGCTCTTCTCTTTGTGCTATGCATAGGCAGCCAAGATGAAGGCGGGATTGCACTAGTGCCTTGAAGGTAAGAACAGAGTGTCTTATCTTCCCTTTGCCAGTATGCAACCCCACACCTGGCACAAAGCAGGTGTGCAGGACACATTTGCAAATAACGCGTGACTCTTGTTTTGGCAACCTCCTCCAAAGTGCCCGGGCAGTAACACGAGGGTCCCCAGAATTGTTGCTTTTTCCAGCAGTGGCGATTCAAATTCTGGTTCAAAGGAGTGATAGAGGCTTAAAAAAATCTCACCCCAACACACACACACACACACACACACACACACACACACACACACCCCTTGATAGAGGCCAAACTGCTTGGAGCAGGAGTGATACTGAGACTGAGGGATGGAGAATGTTTGGGAAGAAAGAGACACTTTCTCCTCTTTTCTCCCTTACTGAAACAGGATGGCTTCAGGGAAGATTGAGTCTTGAGTTTGACCACTGTGTGGCCTTCCTTTTTCCTTTCTCAATTCAGAAACACTTTTTGATGTCTGCTCTGTGTCCTTCCCCACAGTAGGCACTGTAGATGGTGACAGAGGTGAAGTAGGTGGTTCTTCACCCT